AATCAAGGTATGGGTAGTATTTGCACATTTATTCAACTGACTTCTTTTCTACTCCTTGCCTCTGACATTCAGCAGGCATCAGAATAAGAGATGTGTATATTAATATTAGCTAGCAAGTCTACATTCTTGACAATGGAGAGTTAACTTCATACCAAGTCAACATCATCATATCATTTCTAGATCTGTAGAATCAAAATATAGAGATAATCCATTTTCTTCATGATCACTGTCCTTTGTAAAGACAAACTATACAGAATCAAGGAATCCTAGAAATGAATCTAACACTTGGGTCTTCCAAGGAGGCTAATTAGAAGTCACAATTGAACTGACTTCCCCAAATGATGAATAGTCAAAGGATATGGATAGGCAGTTTTCAGAAGAGGAAATCCAAGCTATCAATAGCTATATGAAAAAAATGCTTTAAATCACTAACAAGTGGAGAAATGAAAATTAAAACAACTCTGAGGTACTACCTTACAGGTATCATCTTAGCTAAGATGACAAAAAAGGAAACTGACATGGTGGAGAAGATGTGGGAAAATAAGTACACTAATGCACAGGTGGAGCTGTGAACTATTCTGGAAAGCAATTTGGAACTACATACAGAAAGTTATTAAACTGCACACACCTTTTGACCCAACAATACTGCTACTTGGTCTGTACTTTGAAGAGATCAAAGAAAAAGGAAAGGGATTCATATGTACATAAACATTTATGTCAGCTCTTTTAGTGGTGACAAAGAACTAGAAACTGAAAGGATGCTCATCAACTGAGTAATGAATGCACAAATTATGGTATATGAACATTATGGAATCTCCTGTGCTGTAAGATGATGGGGATGGTATTAGAAAAACCTGAGAAGACCTGTATGGACTGATACAGAGTGAAGTGAGCACAATCCAGAGAACAATTTATACAGTAACAGCAATATTGTAAAGATAATCAACTTTGAAAGATTTAGTAACTCTGATTAACCCAATGGCCAACCACAATTTCAAGGATTTATGATGAAACATACTATCCAGCTCTAGATAAAGAACTAATAAATTCAGAATGTAGATTGAAATGTATTTTTTTTTGTTTCCTTCTTTTTCTTGCTGCCTCCCCCCCGCACCCTAGAACGTGGCTAATGTGAGAATTTGTTTTGCATGACTATACATATTTGTAATGGGTTCTATTTTTCTTGCTTTCTCAATGGTTGGGGAGGAAAAAGGTATAGGGAGATAATTTGGAATTGAACATAAAATAAAATTGAATAAAGAAAAAAAAATATACGTGATTCTTAGTATCTAACACAGGGAAGGAACTTAATAAATATTTGAATTAAAAAAATTGAATTGCCTCAAAAATCTCCTACTTTACATGTAGAGAAAGCAGAGGTTTAAATATACTCAGATTGTTTTAGATGAGAAAATCCAAATCCTTGTAAATTTGAAGATGATTAGGAAAATACTGGAGGTGAAATTATTCTGGTAGGTTATTTCATTTTACAACATGTCCAGGATTTTTACTTGGTTAAATTGTATTCCAAAACATGCTATAGAACATTTAACATGCACTTCTTTTTGATTGATCCTTAAAGTACAAATTTTTTTCTTTTCATAAGCATGCATCTGAATGTTTTGCATTTTTAGCTGTCATGAGGTCTAAATTATATGCTCAGTATGTTCACTGGCATGTTAATGTACAATTGAACAAATATGTACAAAACCACCTACCATTGTCACTGTCTCCTTCTGATGGAATATTGTAGCTATAGTTGTCCCATGTTTGTGCCTGTGTAAGTTTGTTGAAGGAGATAGGAGGAAGAGTGAGGGATGGGTCTGCAGGAGAGGAGTGAGAGAATTGGTCCACATATAGTTGCACAGGGACCAGGAAAAAAACCAAAGGGGCAGCAGCATTTCATAAATGGCATTAGGAATGCATGGAAATGAAAAGGATTTAATTTATATGAGATTAATTAAAATGTATAATATTGGAGGAGAAAGATGAAAGATGGTTCATGAAATAAAAAGAATGAATAAAAATTGAGTGTTAGTAATTACCACAGATTTTTCCATGCAGTTAATATTGTTAACATTACCACAAATGTTAGAGCAGTTATCTTCATCAAGAGTAAGTTGCAAGAGAGAGTACCCACAGATTATACACAAACAAGCCAGAGGACGCATTTATCAGAAATACCCCCAAATTACTGATGCTTGCAACAGAGAAAACATGAATCCCACAGAAAATAATTACATGGTATAGTATCCGTGTAGATGGATTATTCGAAAAAAAACCCTATTTACTTATAGAAGTAGTATTAGTTATACATGAAATTCTACAAGGTAATATGTTATTTGACTTCTCCAAAATGAGACAACCTTGAACTCTAAGTATCTGTGAGTCAATCATTTGGCAACTAATAAAATAATCTGTATCTTATTCATCTATATACTAGATTAATATGATAAGCAAGTATCATTCCAAGTCTCTATTTTATCGGTCATGGGAAACTAGGGGGATCAAAAAAAATGGTGTGGTCTTAGTGAAAATTTATCTGGTTAAAAATTATCTTTTAAAACACACATAAGATGTAAAGAAAAGTGTCTTGGGGAAAATACAGTAATGCCAAAAGAAGATTCCAAGTGCTATTCAAATTCATTGATTCTGGGCAGTGCTTTAGCCTCTGAGAAACTGTCTTTAAACTCTATGGACAATCTTAATAAAAATGAAATGTTTTAATTAAACAACAAAAATCGACATATGATCCAAAGTTGTGTGCACCAAATTTTAATTCATACTTTCTCTAAGATTATGTAAGACTTTGCAAAAATGAGAAAATATCTGATGTAATTTTTTAAAAAAAGGAAAAAAATGCAGAAAAACTCAATATGTAAGATTCAGTCGTGTCACTTGGTACTTCCCAGGATGGTAGTGTTATGTATAGTAATTAAATGTCATGGCTTTTCAACAACGCCCATGCTTTCTGAGTTAACTATTCTGCATTCTAGAATATGGAGAGGTTCCAAAATCCGTAGGAAAATTGTCATGCCTATATATCATATTTCAGATGAATAAATGTCTTATTCATGTTTCACCACTACAAAGAATTTGAAATGGATAGTAGGCTTAAAATTTTAGGCCCTAGTTAAATTCATTAAGAATTTTAAAGATCCCCCAAAATTAAATCATCTAAAAAGCAATCTGCTAGACAGCAAGTTAGTTAATACAATAAAGAGGAGAAGACAAAAAATAGAGTCTATTGTAAAGGAATGGGTACCATGTAATGTATTATCCTTCAGATACAGAGAATAACTACTGATTCATCATTAATAGGCTACAAGATCTAAACTGTTTTCTCAGTGGTGAGACTAGGTTTTCATTCATCCATTGACACTTTCACATCTAGCCCTCCTAGTAACTATGGGCACACATCTGAAAAACAGCTGGCTGGGGCCATAGAGATGTAGTCTATATCTACATAGAGATGTAGTCTGTATCCATGGAAGTAGACCCACATGGCTTTCAAACCTGTATCCTCAGCCTCAATAACATGATGCTTTAACCACCTGAACTACCAGATAGTCATCTATCTATCTATCTATCTATCTATCTATCTATCTATCTATCTATCTATCTACTATCTATATACACACACAAATATGTATAGAAGTTCCATAGCTATAAAATACTCAAGAAATTCTTGACACATTTAAGTTTGAGAAAATAGCTTTGCACATATGCAAAGAGTGCAATAACATTACACTTAGCCATCTGCTACCCATCATTCATCCTGCCCCAGAATGAAGGGTTTTTTGTGTCCAAAAAAAAATGTAATCACTTTCTGAAAAATAAATTTTCCTTTAAAAATTATCTTTGCTCTTTTTCCTATGGATACCTTTATTTAAAAAGGCAAATTACTTCTGTGGTTTCTAAAATGCCAAATATTAAGTGAGAGACAAGCTTCTGCCAGATGTTAAATGGTACTTGGTTAAAAGGAGTAGTAGTGAGTGTTTTTGTTCTAAAGTCCAAGGAAATAAAAATACCAGTGAAATTTTGAGAGACAAAAAAGATGTAATTTGGAAATTTAGATGAACAGAGCATTGACTTCCCACAGGCAGTTCTACTTATGTGGATGGATAACATCTCCTGCATACAGTTGTAATTTATTCATGCGACTATTCTGGCATAAACAAAGCACTAACACATATGCAGTGTTGCCTAATGGAAGCTCCATGCAATCATTTTCTTAAAGACAAAGGGGCCTCGCTACCTTTCTATCTGGGCTGCATGGCTGTGCCACAATAAGCTACCCTTCCAGGAGAGCCAGTAAAAGGACCACTGGAAGCAGTCCAAAATAGATCTTTGTCATGCAGAGTTGTAGAATGAGGAAGCTGTAATGGTACAAATGTAACTATGGCACCATTACATTCTTCTTTGGTGCATGGCATATAAATATTTACTGAAAGTCAATTTTCTGTGGTACCCCAAACCACCCAATAAGCCCTATGCTAAAAATAAATATTTAGCATCCATCAAATATATAAAAGAAGTGGGTGAATGTGTCAATTAGAGACCTTCTCTCTTCTATCTGCCTACCTCTTTAAATTTCAACTTTGAGTGCACTATGAGTCCTGGAGAGAAGAGGAAAGCACTGTATTTCCTTCTATAGGTTAGGTTATTGCTAATGGGTATCTTCTTATGGTAAATATCCCTGCAGATTATTTCTTCCAGATTCCCTGATTGCTCATGTTTTCTGTGTCATTCAAAGGGGGGTAATAACCAAACAATGATGATTCACATACAGTGGTCTAAAATCTGCCATCATATTTTACCTTATCAGGATTGGAACACCAAGATTATGTACCTCTATCACTGATGAGGGTGTTAGTAACTAATAACGCGCAGGTTTCGAATCCTGAAGGGAAACAATTGAGTTCTTTACATGTTTGTGTGAGGACTAATTCAGCTTGTGTTTCATAGGGAGATTCTCTTCCCCTCCAATCTTAACTTACCTGATCGAGGTTTCAGGCCAAATGGAGCTGGGCTATTTGCAGTAGGTGAGATGGCAGGGGAATCCTCTTTAATCTGCTGTTACAAGGAAGATGAAATTCAAGAAACTGAAACATAACTAAGGATACTGATTTACCTAATAGGATGACAATTATGCAGTGCCACTGTCTTAGCCAGCTCTGGTATCATTGCTGCATTGTGATCAAAGGGAAGACAAAACTATCCTGATGGATGAACATCTGCCGTACAGAATTCAAATCTCTATATTAAAAAATAAAGTCTTTCTTCAGCATTAATTTGACTTTTGTTGTAAACAGTATGAAAACTGTAAAAATATTTCAGAATAGATGGTGCATCAAGACCAACTGAAATGAGAACCCTCTTCTCCCTCACATACACACACACACACACACACACACACACACACGCACACATTCAGTACACCTCTGATAAAGAATTTCATAATACAATAAGGTTAGGAAAAAAAGATGAAACAGAACAGATGCATAGTCTTTAGGGAAACAACGTATTGAATCATTTATGGATAACAAGAGCTTCAAAATATTGACCGTTTGCATACTATTTTCATTCTGTTAATAGAACTTTCTATAAATAACAGTACTCTATGAAAATGTTTCCATGAGTGTTTCCAAGAATAGAAATTTTATTTTATTCTTAAAAATGAAACTTTAATCATGAATGGGGCTGGTGAGATATGTGGTAGCAGATGAAATTGAGAGGGATTCCCCTGAGAGCCTACCACACTCAATTCACTCATTAATCACTAGAAACTTGCATGATGTTTTTTGTCGGAGATGTGCCAAGTCAGAGCACAGCAAGCAACTTATTCTTCCCTTGCCTCTAGGCCGCTTACCTCATTTTGAGAACACCGGATCCCCATACTTCCTAAAGCCTGATCATTTTGCACCTGAAAGGAAAACAAAACATTTAGTAGACCAGGCTGAATGTACTGCACAAATACTTTGTAATAACATGAAACTCATAATGTAGAATAACACATATATGTGGCCACACAAGTTCATGAAAAGGCACTAGGGCAGATAGAATACAAGAAATTATAATAGAGACCTCACCTATTCAGAATTCAGGACAAACTCACGAGATTATGGACACAGCCAAGAATAAGGTGAGAGGGTGACAAAGATGCCTGGAAAAATCAAATGGATGTCACATCCATTATATCATAATAGATCCCTATAATCATAGCACTATATGGTTAGGAGACACTCATATTCTTAATTTATGAGCATCCTAATAAGCTTGGCCAGCTTATTTGGGAAACCACAGAATATTATAGTTAGCTGAATGTAATTGGGGAGGTCTGCTATGGAAAGGCATATTGAGAGCAGTGAAGCAAGTGGAAGCTCATAGCCAGAGAACAACAGAAAAGACCCAAACCCCCGAGATCAAAGAATCAGACTCTTTCAGCTGACCCTTCTCTACTTGTTAGTGCTCTCTTGCCTCAGATTATCTTGTGTTTACTTGTCTACTTACATCTAGTATTCCCCCACTAGAATGCAAACTCCTTGAGCCCAGGAATCATTTTTTTTCTTTTGTTTTTCAGTCTCTTTTATGGGTGCCTTGCATATAGAAGGAAAGCTTGCTGGATTCAATTGAAATGGGTAACATCTACTGAGAATAATCATTCATTTTATAGTTGAGGAAAATAAGGCTCAGAGAAGTCCGACAGACCTAGCTTTAAATTCTGGCTCTGACACTTACCATGTGACTATTGACAAGTCATTTAACCTCAGAGCCACTTATACCTGCAGCTCTGTGTCAGCAGCCTCCCTATACAAATAAATGAAGAAGCCAGGGCCTTGGCATGGGTGAGGTGGAGCAGGAGAGAGGAGTCTGCATATCAGCTAACTGCCAATTCCCCAGGTTCCCACGGCACTTCCAACAGGAATCAGCAGTAGTCCTCGGACTTTAACCTGCCCACCTGGTTTAAGCTCCCTGCTTCCTCCCTGCAATGCTGGGTCCTACTTGACCCAGATAAGAACCCTGGGAAAATTCTCTGGACTATAGTATTTATAAATAGTAAACAGCCCCTTCTCCCAAGGACCTCAGCAGACCCTGATCTGTTTCCATCCTCCTTGCTGACTCCTCCAATGATATAGCCCCTCGATAAAGCTGACTCATTTTCTGCAAAGCCAGGAAGCCAGTGTCATTTGATTGACAAGTACACAGGGGACAGGTTGTAAGATGTTAGAAAACTGAAAATGTAGGAAAGAACCAGGTTACAAAGGGTTTTAAACACTAAATGGTGTTCTCTATTTGATACTGGAAACAACAGGTAATTGGGAGCCACTTGATTTTATTGAATGAAGTCAGACCTGGGCTTTGGGAAGATGAACTGGACAAATGAAAGAAAGGATGGACTGGTGTGAAGAGAAATTTGAGGCACAGAGCTCAATTAAAAGGCTATTTTGCAATAGTCTAGGAGTGAGGTGATGAGGGCTTGCACTAGGGTGGTGGCAGTGTCAGCAACCTGAAAGGGGTATATATGAAAGATGTTTTGATGGTAGAATTGATAGGATTTGGCAACTTGACCGAATACGTAGAGGGTTTAAGAGGGAGAATAGAGTAAAGGATGACACCCAGGTTGTGAGCCTGAGTGACTCAGAGATGGTGGTGCCCTCAATAATAATAAGAAAGTTAGGAAGAGGAGTGGGAAAGGTGGGGTGGGAAGATAAAGAGTTCAGTTTTGAATAAGCTGAGTTTAAGATATCTATGGGACATTCAGTCTGAGCTGTCTAACGGACAGTTAGAGATTAGAAACTATAGGTCAGGAGAGAGGTTAGATCTGGGAATCATCAGCATACAAATGATAATTTAATCCACAGGAGCTGATAGGATCCACAAGTGAAATGGTATATTGGGAGAAGAGAAGAGGGGCAAGGATAGAACCTTGGGAGGCACTAATACTGTGCATGACCCAGACGAAGGTCAAGCTAAAGAGACTGAGGAGAAACAGTCAGACACATAAATAGTAGAAGAAACCAGAGAGAACAGTGTCATGAAAATCTAGAGAGAAGAGAATGTCAAAGAGGAAAGGGTGGTTGACAAAGGTCAAAAGCTGGAGACAGGTCAAAAAGGATGAAGATTGAGAAAAGGCCACTAGATCTGTCAATGAAAAGATATAATCCAGGGTCCTGAAAATATTCCATAACTTCTGAAAAAAAACCTCACAGACTTTTAATATTACCATGTTTTCCCTCATATAAGGTACCAAAACATCGTGAAGTCTAGCCATTCTTTTTCTTTGATCAATTGCTGAAGGTTTCTATCCAAAAGTGTTCTGGTCTTGACATAAAACCCTTAGGAGAAAATTAATCTTGAGAACAAACTGTCACTTCATAACAGAACAGCCATTTTTCAAACTCCTGACATATATTTTTGGCCTCAGATGTGGTCCACCCTCTAAGTAATTCCTTCCTTTAGTTCCTCCTCTGTATTTTCATTTTGTAATACATGAGATTAGATTAGTGAGATCATAATAGTAAGTATGAAACTCTTGAGTATATTCAATTCTAAATATAGTGAAATGTTATCCCACATTAATAAGTAAAATGATCATGTTCAAGAATAGGTAATGTAAGGTAACACAACACTTCTGATTACAAACCAGTCACTCTATAATGGTACCCTGGCCTCCCTCCCTCAATCACATTTATTCACATGACAGCTCTGTGCTTCAAATCATACTGTTTCCCTTTCTGCCTTCCACACACTCCATGTTAATTTTCACGTCTGTGCTTCTGTTCACGCTCTGCATGATAGTAGCAATGCTGCCTTGTTTAGGTTGGTTCCCTTCTGAACTTTCTCAGGCTCTCTTCTGTGCATTTTAAAAATGTTTCACTGAAGGCTGTTCTTTTTTCTGCTACATTTCTCCCTTTTTTAACCTCCTAGAGCACTAAATCACATAATATAGCCCTTGATTACATATTTTATTGCTTTCATTCTCTAATTCTTTGTGGTTTTATCTCCCAAACCAGTCAGCCAGACAGTTTTCCCCTCAAGGGCAGGGGGCCTGCTTTGCTTCATGCTTCTCAGATCCTCACCCCATTTGGGGACCTGGCAGAGTAGAGGGCATTCATAAACTACTTGAAGCCAAAAATTCAATGTTCTAAATCTGAATAGGAGTGGAGAGAAACATAAAAATAGAAAGGAGTCATAAAAATCAGGTATTGCCTCTATGCAACCCTAGGAACCAACTTTCCCAGTGTTTTTTTTTTCTTTCCTTTAGCTCATGGCCTTTTTATTTTCCAGGCCAACTAGCTACTTCTCTCCTATCCTGGAGGAATGTTTTATAGACAAGGACAGAGAATTGGATTAGAGCAAGGACACAAAAGCTGGGGATAAATGAGCAAATCTCAGAATGAAGAAATGGTGGAACTGGTGCCGGGATGGGCTGGGTCGCATGTTTTAGCACTGTATCTGGAAGACCATATACACAGTAAAATCTGTAAGCCTGTAGATGGAAAGAAGTCTGTCCATGTTACAAGATACCAATTCTGGATAAACTTAAGGAAGAACCCATTAGCCTATATGACGGCAGGAAATTAACAGAATATAACTATTTGGTCAATATAAAGTAATTGATTTAGTAGGAAGAAAAGTCTAAAAATATATTTCCAAAACCATTAGTTTTGAGCTGTTATAATCCAGCACTCCACACTTATAATGCATATGGTTCTAGCTGCTACCTTGCTAGAAAGGAAATGAAGCTGGACATGGTCCAGAGGAAGGCAAATATAACATACAAGATGATGGACAGACTTCCTATCAAGTAACTATTAAATTTTAAAAGTGGGTCTTATCAGTCTAAAAATGATGGAAGAAAAGATTAAAGTTTATGAAATCATGAAAAAGATAAACATGGATGACTAAGTCCTAAAGAATTAGAACTAATGGGAACACTCTGATGCTTTCATTCATAGGCTCCAGAACTGGAAGGTACCTTAGAGATTATCTCATTCAACCCCCTCATTTTGCAGAGGAATAATCCAGGGTCCAGAGAGGTCAAATGTTAGGAGATTATAAGCAGGTTTTAAATAAAGAAGAGGAAGTGTACCCCCCCCAAAAAAAAAACTCAGTAAAATACCCTAAGAAACTAAAACTGAAAATACAACTAGGCTGAAGAAGAGTTTAGTCAAAACTGTAGATGACACTTCGATAACAACTTACTATGGGAAACTATGGATATCTGAAGCATGTTGTTAACTGTTACAGTTTAATATAATTGATGGCAAACATTGTCCCTCTCCCCAACCCAATCCTCCCAACTAGCCTCTGTCATGCCAGCCAGATTACTAGGCTAGAAAGATGACCAGTCAGACTCAGGACTTACTTCTAAACTTATTTTTTTTTCTTTTTGCCACGTGGATGGATTGTTTTGCCCTATGGACAGGAACTCATAGGCCAGCAGCTGAGTGAGTGAACCACTATGAATTCAACCAAATGGTGCAGTGTGGAGAACATTCTTCAGAAATATTTGGGCCATAATCTTGCCCATATAGAGCATGGGAAACAGCATGAAAGGCAACTTTCAATTCTCTGGCCTTTCTTCAAAACGGGGGTAATACTGATGGTTGTTCTATGAAATCTTGTAGCATTTATCATATTCATGCATGTGTGTGCGCGCGCGCGCGCGTGTGTGTGTGTGTGTGTGTGTGTGTGTGTGTGTGTGTGTATGTGTGTGTAGTGGGCAATGGAAAGCAATGGAAAGACTCAGAAGACCAAGATTTAAATCCTTTGTCATTTGCTACCGGTATAAACTTTGACAAATTACTTTGGGCTTCAGTCTCTTCATCCATAAAACTGAATTTTATATCCATCAATATAAATTGGCAAGAGTTGGAAGGGAGGTTGATTAGAGATGATCTTTAGGGGCTCTTCTGGTTCTAAATGGATGATGGTGATGATGGTGAATCAAATGCCTTAATGGACTTTTTTTTTAGGCAATTGGGGTTAAGTGACTTGCCCAGGGTCACACAGCTAGTCAGTACCATATGTCTGTGGTCAGATTTGAACTCAGGTCCTCCTGACTTCAAGCCTGAAGCTCTATCCACTATGCCACCCAGCTACCCCCCTTAATGGATTTCGAAAGACCTCTCACCTCCTGCTCGCCAAATCAGAGTCAGTATGTTCAGTTCCTAGGGTGTAACCATTCTTTATTTCTCTGGCTACAACTGTGGTGAGAGCCATAATGTTGTTCACTGAAAGGTAGTCTATCCTTTATATAAACTGTCATGCTGTAAAAATGTCTGAAATACAATTTTTCCCCCCCAGGATTCCCTTCTTTGTGAAGGCCATAATCTTGCCCTCTTTGGTAAGTCAGCATAAGGTGCATGGATCCTAAAAATACTCTTCTAAGCTTTGGGGATTTGCTGTTTTGGTGTTGGTTGTTAGAGACCCGAATTCCTTCAGCCTTGACCCACTCACTCCCAACTGTGCACTTCTCTTAACTCAGACAGAGTTGAGACAAAAGTTTTGATGAAGTACAGAGTCTTCCACTTTGGCCCAAGCCCCCTATGGCTATTATTAGTTTATGGTAACTCAACAGGGCAACCCCCATTTAATCTAAGGATCCTGATCCTATAGTGACATTGTAACCTTTGGGTATCCTACAGAGTCAGCCTCAAGTCATTATAATAGGACAACAGGAAAATACAAATCAGTTGAAGCTGGCAAATTTTCATTTTAGATTTCAGTTTAAACGCTTTCCCCTGATACTTGTTATCCATACTATCAACAGCTATAAAACTAAACTGTGTCTTATTCCTGGTGATGTGGCATAGTAGTCCCCAGAGCCAGGAAGACCTGGGTTCAAGTCCTGCTCCTGACACATATAGACTCTCTGGTCCCAGGCAAGTCACTGAATCTCTCAGTGCTCTAGGCCAGTAGTGTCAAGCTTAAATAGAAAAGGGGGGCCACTAAATCCTACATAATGATTCCTGTGGGACTCATATTGACTTAGAAAAACACATATTAACATTATCTTTGTTTTATTATTTTTTTGGTTGTGTTTCCTAATAAAATTTTGATCTGTTTGTGGCACTTGGGAGTGATTCGCTGTGTGTTCGGTCCCCCTGATGTAGTCAGCTCTATGACAAAATCACAGAGAAGATGCCAATCTGCATTAGCAAAGGAAGTTATCTGCCGGTAGCTGCATATACCAATTAAATCAAGGGCCAATCTTTATCTGTTATTCCATTCCTAATTCCACGTGAAAGTGGACTAAAGTCCAAGATAAAGAGAAAAGGAAAAGACAAGCAAAGAGTGTGAAGAATTAATTTTCAGTTGCATAACCCAGAGCTGACTTCAGAAATTCAACTCAATCTCAGTGGAAGGAAACTATAATCCTGAGATAGGGAAATATTATGAAACAGAACTTTAGACACATGTTAAACATTATTTTCTAGACAACCAAAACACTTCATAATCAAAGGAGTGGCATTTGCCAGGCACTGGGATATACAGAGCTCTAGTTAAATCACTATAATAACTCCTCACCATTGGCATCTTACTTGGACATTCCACATATCCATATGTATCCATCCCTATCATTGAGCCTCATCATAACACTTTTAAAGGAGGCAGGGTGGATATTATTATTAGTTCCATTTTATAGATAAGAAAACAGAAACTGAAAAGTTAAGTAATTTTCCAAGGTTATAAGGCTAGTAAATGACAGTCAGGACTAGACTTTAGGCAGGCCTTCAGGAGGGAATGTTCAGAAGACTCAGATTTTTGAAAAATAGGTTCCATAGTAACAAGGCCAGCTCTAGGCCCGAACAGGAAAATAGATAAAGTTTATCTCTGCTAATGCAATTTTTTTTCTTTTGATGACCTTTCCCTTCTTGAGCCATACACCTGGATCTTCTCCTCAGGCACCTATGGCTCTGCGCATCTCACTCCCTACAGAAACTTGCTTTTATCAAAAAAAAAAATCTATCCAATCATCCATAATGACTTTCATTTGTAAAATGCTTCAGGGGTTTCAAAGGGATTTCCTCACAACCATCTTCCGCACTCTATGTAGTGCAAGTATCATTATCCTCAATTTACAGATGAGGAAACTGAGGCTCTGAGAGATTAAGTGACTTGCCTCTGATCACCCATCTAGTGAGGTGGGATTTGAACCCAGGTATCAGGACTGCAAGTCTCACACACTAGCCACTATGCATTTCTGCCTCTTTAATAATAATGCGTGTTACTGAGAGGCATGAACACATTGCCTCTAGGAGGGGCAATATTTTAACTAGGGAAAAGCTAAGGAGTTAAAGGAATAAAACTCTAACTGTGTAAATTTATGCATCATCAAGCTAAATGGAAGAGGGTTTGTTACTGTTGTTTTGATCTGGAAAGTAGAGAATAAGGGTGCATCTCAGGGTTGCTGAAACATATGTGGTCACATACTCTGCCTGTATGAAAATGGCATGATGTAAATTTTGAAAGAGTGTTTCTCAATCTCAGAGGAAAACCAAATAGACTCAGAGCAGCCGTGTGCAGGAGACTCTCTGCTGCTGAGTGACTGGCTGCTACCACTACCACAACCCTCTTCAGAGGGAGGTACCTTCAAGATCATAACCGTCGCACCCAAAACATTTCCTTGTTACTTTTCTTCTAAGTTTCTTTAAATTTAGTCAACCAGTCAGGGCTGGACCGACTTTTTTTTTTTTTTACTATAGGGTTCAGAGGGGCTCAAGGGGAAAATGTATAAAAGCAAGTAAATTACAGGTTGAGAGTGTTCATTACTCAAGGTAGCTACTCATTTGTCAGGCCCCTAACATGGTGGTGTTACTCTGTTTAATTCTCAAGTAACCATTTCAAACTGTTAGTAGCCACAATCATTGGGCTACTTAGCCTTTGTTTGCTGGTCAAATATTTGTAATTTGGGAGGAAGGTTTTTGCCTCAGGGGATCTTCGTGCTGTATGGGATTTATACTGGTGTAAGCATTCTTTCATCCTAACCCCTCTCTGCTTCAGGGTGGCGGGTGGCCTCAGCTTCTCCTGAAAAAAAGAAAACCACCTCATTTTCTGCAACACCCACTTCTCCATCTATGTCTACCTCGCCCTGTGATTACTTCTCTTCTACCTAGCCCAAACCCTGGATAAACAGATCACTTTGGAAATAGGTGTCTTTTATTTTTAGTAGCAGGTGGGGCACAGAGAGTGTGCAAGAAGGGCAAAAAGATGAAAAAGTGAGCAATGTACTGACCTAGAACACATTCAAACAGCAGGTCTCAAATTTAGCCTTAATATTTCATTTGTCAATACTCTAAATATGTAAAATATATGCACTTTATAACACACACACACACACACACACAAATTTGTTTTGCTTACCTGACAATCAGGAGATGATTCTGGCTGTATTTGACCACTGTGAGGAAAAGGGGAAAAAACACACAAAGCATCGAAAAGTCAAGAATAAAATCTTCAGTTTGAAAAATAAAAATATGCACTAGTGCACATAAGCTAAACATACTTTAATGTGGAATCTTGTAATTCTAAGGCTGTTGCTGAGTCCATGGGATAGAGGTTCATGACACTTCTGTCAGTAATATCTGTGCTTAATCTATAAAGTTTGAAACAAAAGAAGGAATAGTTTTGTGAGTTATTTCACTGAGCTTTTTTATTCACTGAGTTCAATAAACTTTATTGCCTCATTAAAGAACATAAATATCAAAGAGCTGAATACTCAAATACTTGGTTCCATAGGAAATTTTAGTGCAAAACTCATTATTAAAAAGGAGGTCACTTTTATTCAAGTCAGTAGAAGGTCATTTAATAAATTTTCTCTTCTACAACATAGCTTGGCAATCAGAGATAATGCAAGGAACTTTAATGGGGTGTTTACATTTAGTTCAAAATGTCAATAATGTGAAAAGATGAGTCCTGCTTCACCTTTTGAAATAACAGTTATGCTGAAAGAGTTATAATCTCCAAGTTAGAAATATTTTCACCAACCTCTCCTATACATTTTACCACTGGATGCTTTTGGGCTAAGTGGTACAGCTCTGGGCATGGCACCAGGAAGACCTGAATTCAAATCTGACCCCAAAGACACTTACTAGTTGTGTGAACCTGGGCAAGTCACCTAACCCTCTTTGCCTCAGTTTACTCATCTGTAAAATGAGCTGGAGGAGGAAATGGCAAGCCACTCCAGTATCTCTGCCAAAGAAAACCCCAAACAGGGTCACAAAGAGTCAGACACAAGTGAACAATGATGATTCTGTAATCTAATTCCTTATTTTGCTCTTGCAATTTTCTGATGAAATCATAAGGCTCTCACATTAAAATACATCCTTGTGCCTTGTTTGCTTTCTCAACCAGATAAATTACTGAGAGGAACATAAATACCATGGAGGTATTTGGGTCTTTATAGTAAGAACTGTCAACTAGAATACCATCTCTATTTTTTAAAATAGAAATTTAGTATAAAATGTTATTCATAATTTTATTTTTAAACATTACTATACATGTATCAAATTTTTAAACCATCTACTATATAAAAGTAAAGTACAACTAGAAAGTTAACATGAACCAACTCAACACCACTTGAAGTTGGGGAAAAGTTCATATTAAAATTACTTACAGAAAATACTACATAAATAGCTAATAGGTATAGAAGAATGAAGCAAGACAAATACTAAAATTGCATGCAACCCATCGAATCTGAATGAGAAATACAAAATTCAACTGATTTTCTGGTATTCAAATTTTTTTTATCATAAACCTCTGAAATTTTTTATTCTATCAGAAATTAACCTTTAAAAACAATTTTTTTGGCTCTATAATACATAGGAAGGAAAATAGTAATATTAAAAAGCATCAGATTTAATAGTCAATGTTGGAGGGGCTGTAGAGAGACAGGCACACTAATGCATGATTGTTGGATCTATATAAATTGGTATAATCATTCTAGAAAGCATTTTGGAATTATGCAAATAAAGTGACTCAACTGTCAAAACCTTTAACTCAGGCACATACTTCAAGAAGGGAGATTTTTTAAAAAAACCTTCCATAAACACCAAAATACTACATTTTTGAGGTAACAGAGAACTGGAAATCAAGTTTATGAGCAAGGGAGTAAATTACTGGAGGTATGCTTCGCTAGGATAATGGGGCCGTAATGCACAGAATGGAATGGGCAGGGAGAAACTGAAGTGGATTTCTGAGTTAGGAGAAAATAATCTGCTTATGTTTCTTTTTTGTTCTTCACAAAGGTAGGTAACACATTGCAGATTTCTCATTTGTAAGTATTCACATTTTCAGAGTGTTGACCTCTTCTCAGGGAACACTTTAGAGACTGAGCTACCATTTGCTTTGAGAACTCAAAAAAAAAGGTCAATAATATATGCAAAATATTAATTTAAAACTATTATTTGCACATGAAACGTCGGATCAAGGGAAAACAAGCGTACCTGTTGGGATCCTGTAACAAATCTACTGCTTGTCTGAGTTGATCTATCATTGCTATATCCACATCTTGGTTATCTGATAAATTTGTCCTGTCACAGAAAGCAAAGAAAGAGCAACAATACCATCCTCATCATCACTGGACCAAAAACTTAGGAATAAGACATCTCTACGTATGGAATAGATTGCCCCAAATTTTGCTGGCCCAAATCCTACCTGGCCTTCAAGGAATAAGAGTAGGGATTGGACCTGTTATTTCATTGGGTAAAGTTAATTCCCAGGTAAGGAAACTTCCTCTATTAATACAGGTAGGTACCTCTACAACTTAAAGTCCTAGCATTTTGTCTAAGGTCTTCCTGGCTAAAAGACCAGGTCTCCATCCACTTTGCCAAGTTGTTTCTGGCCTTCAGTATCCAACTCAATACCGCCTTTCCTTCAGAAAGCCTTGCCCATGCTTCCAGTGAGGAATGACCTTTCTTTGGAACCATCACGGCAGTTCAGTTATAGTGCTCTGGTGCACCTATGCTGATTCTATATTAAAGATATCTGCATAAATTTTAATCTTCTCTACTAGATAGAAGGTTAAGTCCATTGAGGACTTTGTATATAGTAGGTGCTAATTAACACCCTAACAATTAACGTTAATAAAGGCCTGTTGAATGGTGAAGACTTTAGGTAATATACTTAGCTCTAAATATTACTGAATTTAGAATAGCTAATTATAGTTAATTAAATTCTTTTTCCAAACTCCTTTTGAAAGAAGAAATGGCAATACCTTAAAAAATCAAGTTATGCAAATCAGACAGTGAATTAGGAAACCTGGGTTCAAGTTATCTCTCTGCCACTAACTAGCTATATGATCTCTGAATGGTCACAAAATTCCTCTGGGCCTCAGTTTTCTTATCTGGAAAACCAACGTATTAAGCAGCTAAGTAATTCAGTAGATTGAACACTGGATTCAGGAAGACTTGAGTTCAAATCTAGTCTCACATGTTTATTACTTGTGCAACCCCAGGCAAGTCACTAAACCTCTGTCTGATTCAGTTTCCTCATCCATACGGATATAATAATAGTAGTATCTGCCTCCCAGGATTGTTCTTAGGATAAAATGATAAAATTGTAAGGTGCTTTGTAAGCCCTAATGTGCTACATAAAATCTAGCTATTATTAATTACTATTATTATTACTTCTATTCCTACCAGTGCTAATAATCTTAGGATTTTAAAGTCAGGGTGAACCTCTTTGATCTCATGAAAGCAAGCCGACTGAACAGCTGAGCACATGTGTTAGTGACCTTAAAAGAACTCCACTCTCTTGACCAAAGGATGAATAAAAAAAGGATGAAAGTCTCCTTTTACCCTGAAATTTTGGTCAATGTATTTCTACAGGTAGAAGAACGTTTGAATAATTTCCTAGAACATAGTGTGAAATCTTTCCTTTGGGAGAAGGGGAAAAAATGATAAGTGGCCATGCACAATGTAACACGTATAAAAATAGCCCATTGTAGGGAAAACACATGTGGATTCAAACCCCATTTTTAGAACTACTGGTAATAAGGGTCTGTTAATATCTTCTCTCTCTGTCCTTCCAGTTAAACTTAGAACAGAATGGAAGATGTTTGTTATTCTTACAAAAAACACTGTTTTTAAATGTCCATCTCAAAGGCTCTAGCCAAAGACCCACTGATGCCCTCTGTTTGCCATCTTCAGGAGAATAACAAAATATAACCTGGAACCTAGAATTTAGAGATCATCTTGAATCCATACATTGTCTTACAGTGCAATCAGACGTAACCATGGGGGCCACGGGAAAGAGGTTGAAGGTGCTTTCTTAACCTAGCACATTATTCTTAAATGTGTAATACCAGGATAACAGGTATTGGAAGTGGATATATTCTGCATTTTCATCAATGTAAATTGATTTTTTTTTTTAGAAAAAGAGCTGTCCAAAGGAAAACTGGTTAAAATGTTACTACAACATGCTAACTACCATTCCACCTGAAAAAGAAGGAAGGAAAATGGCTAATACTAGATTTTATGCTTAACATAAATCAGTACTCACATTCCTTCTGTTTGCCAGTGTGTGTCCTCTTCTATCCGCAACAATTCATCACAGTCATCTGCTCTGCCCTGTGAACAACCAACATACAGGTCCTCTGAGAACAAGACTTTGTTATTCAATAGCCAGACCCTGTGCCAAACCTGCTCCATCTATCAGCTTGAAGTCAGTAATTACAGTAGTTTAAAAAGCTGGGCTTTTATTTCTCACTATCCCCTCAATACCCCCGATGGTGATCAGATCCCTTTCATGGGCTTGCCAGATCCCTGGGTGGTCCTTCACCTTTGCCAGTGGGAGGGGAGAAGAACGTTTAGAAGGGGGGAGGAAAGAGTACACATACTTACCAACAGGAAAATGCCACAAATGTAATCTAATATTTTAAATTTGCACAACAGTCGGGATGTACTTAAAAGTTTTCCCCCAGAGAGACTATGCCTTGCTAGTTAATTTGGAAAGGTGTGTCTCACATTTGTCCTTCCATTTGGTAGACCATGTGTTTCCTTCCACTTTCATCTCTGACACAGAGAAATGCTGCTTTAACTCAGCTGACAGCTAGAACGGAAGCCACCCCTGAATGGGTGTATGTTTCCCCTGGTGAGGAAGGAACAGAAGACAAAAGGACAGCTTTCTGAGTCCTGGTTTTGGCACCTCGTTAACTAGACTCAAGAGTACCAGCCAATTCTGCCAGATGTACCAGTAAGAAGTGTGCTAGCCTTTTTCCTGGGAAGGTGGCTGACTGCCCAAAGCTGGCCTCTAGCTGGAAAAGAACGTGGCCTTTTTTGTTTAGCTTTTTACTTAATGGAGAAAGTAGACTTCATTGATTTTCTCTCATAGTATACTCAATGCACTTTCAAAAGAACAAACCAGCAGTTTCCACATTTGGATTCTGCATGTCTGGCAAAAATAACGGAGGAGGGTTCTGCTCTTGGTGTTGGCTTTCAATTATAGTAGCTAGAGAAAGCTACCTTCTTGTTTTCTGGAGGTCCAAACGATTATATGATTGTCACTTGTGTACAGCATTTATCCTTTCCAGATGAAAAGGGGGGACTGTCTGGTTTTCTACAAAGTTACATACTGTTATGATTACCAAGTTACATGCTTTCAAGATGATCCCTAGAAAAGAGTAGTTTCCCCTTACTATAGGATCATATTTAAACATGAACAAGTTTATTAGTAATAATTCACATTTATGTAGTACTTTGTGATTTTCAAAACACTTTCCTTATAACAACCCTCTGAGCATTAATATCTCTGTTATTCAGATGAGCAAACAAACTCTGAGAGATCAAGTGACTTTCCCCCAGTCACAAAGCCAGTAATTGATGGGATTGAAAAATGAATCCCTGACTGACTCCAATTCTATAGTTCTTTCCAAATAATAGTTCATACTTATAAAGCTCTTTACAGTTTCCCAAGTGCTTCCAACAGGGTAAACAATACGATACTTTTTAGCTGCTAAGCAGTGCACCATAAATTTTTAACGTTAAGTATGTGTCCCAAAGCCAAGGCCAAAGCTGGACTGATTTCCGTTTTGAGGGGCTTTCTTGCTTGTCTTCAAATCTACATCGTCCTGAGTTTAACCCACTTGGTTTTATTCATGTATCCCCTTTTTGCATAACACAGAGCCTTAGTCATAGTAGACATTTGATAGATATTTGTTAACTTAATTTGATTTCTACACATTAGTTTGTTCCTGAGTTCACTGCACAATTTTGTGACTAGTTACCAGCTTTTTTTAGGCTTTTGTTTATTAACATTTCTTTTCTATTAGAGCCCTAAATCAGAAGAAACTTGTTCTAAGTTTCACCCTTAAAATTTTATTACTGGATTTCGTTAACTTCTTTTCTTTGAATCTGGACATCTGATGATCACTTTCAGCAGTGTCCCTCCTATTTAAGATTCGAAACTAATTCATCTAATTAGGGTGATCTCTCCATACATCTTGGAGACAAAGCTCACTTTTTTTTGAGGATCATAATAATAGAAAGCCAGGGTACTACTGATTCTTTTGAGCCACTTGATTGTGAAGCACTATTTAAATAATCAGGATCTTTTCATTAAGAAACTTTGTATGATAGGGAAGAAGAAAACACAGACTGCCAGCAAACTAGTGCTTTCTGACACTTGAAAGTAGTGGAAAACTTCCTGATCAGTGGCACAGATGAAAATAAGCAAGCAAACAAGAAAATACCTCTGAATAGCTACAACAGATGGCACAGAATCCAGAAACTGAAGATCAGACACTTTAGTGAGAGCCTCTTCTTACCTCAAACCTAGTAGGCACTCAGAAATTATTCACTCTTCCTTTAGAAACAATTATCATATGATTTTTCAAGTTGGCAGGAGAATAAAACTGTCTTAAGGATAAAGGGTGAAGAGCTAAAACAGCAAGAAGAGATAGATGATGGCAAAAGAATAAATAGGAAAAGTATAAAAAGCTGACACAAGAACTCCAAACACACGGCAAATGTAAAAATTGTGCTAATCTGACAACGGAATAAAAACTTAAAGCTCCATCCTGGGCAGATCAAGTGCCAATTAGTCTTGAGTACAGAGTGTTTAAAAATACATGCTGATTTTTCTACCTCTTCTAATCAACATTTTTGCGACAAAAATTATGTGTCAAGGTCGCCACTTCGTAGATATTTACCATTTGATACTACTGAAAATAATTCCATGAAAGAATAATTTTTCATTGCTCTTACTCGTTAAATGAGATATTAAATCTTTTGCTCTTTGGAAGTTTGTATTTTATGTCTGGTGTACATATTCCAATTATCAGGGAGAGGGAAGTAAACCTTAAAAAAATAAAAGTGCTTCACTATGAAAACAGAAAGTGAAAATAATCAGAACAGGCAGAGAAGAATCCTCTGAAGTTCTTCTCAGGAAAGAGGGATTAAATTGTACTCTCTGGAGTACAACTGTCTTCAAATCTACATAGTCCTGAGTTTAGCAAATCAAAGGAATAATTCCATGAAAACACTGGTTCCATCAGGAAGAGACCATGTGAAATCTAGGAACCAGAGCTAGGGAAGCATGGTAGAGAACATTTAGGTAACAATCAATGGAGGAAGGAAATCTAGACCATTGGAACAGACCAAGTGAGAGAGATGATTGCTGCACTGTCTTTTGCCCTGATCAGAACTTAGAGTATTGTATTCAAAGTTGGGTGCCACATTTGAAGAAAGACATTGTTAAACTAGAGAGGATCCAGGTGATGGTAGCCAAGATGGTGAATGTCTTCAAGACCATGTCAGATAAGGATTATGTGAAGATGTTTAGCCTAGAGAAGAAAAATATACTCAGGATGCACATGATAACTGCCTTCAAATATTTGAAAGGCTGCATTTGAAAGAGGGATTAATCATATTATGCTTGGCCTCAGAAGCCAGAATAGAAGAAGCTGCAGACAGAAGCTGCAGAGGAGCAGATTTAAGACTTGACATAAGGAAAAGCTTCCCAACAATTAGAGCTATGCAAAAATAGAATGAGGTAGCTTAAGAGATAATAGGCTCCTCCCCAGATGTCTTCAGGCATTGGTTGGATGACCACTTGAAATGTATACTGCAGAGGTTATTTTTGTTCAGGCACAGATTGGATTAGACAGTTTTTGAGGTCCCTTTAAATTCAGATTCTTAATGAAATATAAGTTTAATCTAATTTTGCTTCTCTAAATATGAATTTTCATACTTACATGGACATCTGTGTTTTCTTCAAATAAAAAGGCCATTATCCACACATGCATATGTACAGGCAACCATGGAAGGGAATATCTTGTAATTTTCAAAAAGAAAACCCTGAGAAACTAACGCCAAGGCTGAAGTCATATGGAAATCTGGCCTTTTTAGAATCAAATGTTAATACTGTCAATAATTTCTCCTTCCTCAGGACTTATAAATGCAATCTAAGTTCTCTTAAAATTAAAAATTCATACTCAAAATCTGCCTTGAACACTAGTATCTGTCAATCTCACACTTAAAAAATACTGAGAAAATTAATCCCTATTCCATAAAAACTACTGGGAAAATGAGAAATAGGGTTTGGATACATACCTCATGCTGTCATAAATTTTAACTTGAACAGCTATATCTGTATCTATATATGAAAATATATGTGTATCACAAAAGAAATGGAAGAAAAAGGAACAACCCATCTGTCTCAAACTATGGAGAAGAGGGGCATTTCTTAAAATTAAATAAATCAAAGTTACCAGGGAGATCAAGTGAATGGGCTTGGTTATATAAAGAAAAAAAGGATTTTGTACCAGAAAAAATATTATCTTTAAAATTAAAAGAAAAGAAACAGATTGGGAAAAATATTTCCTATAAATTTATCAGACATATAAGATCTGAGAGCTATGAGTAGCTGATGAACATCCATAACACTAATAACACACTCCTCAGTGGAATAATGGTCAAAGGACATGATCAGGTAATTTACCGAGAAAGAAATAACAATAATAATATGAAAAGATGCTCTAGATTCCCTAGTAACTTGAGAAACTAGAATCAAGACAACCCTATGATAACTTAGACTATCTAGAATGGCGAAAACAGTGGTTTGGTTTTTTATTTTTTGAAAAAAGGATAAAGTCCAATATTGGTAGATCAGTGGGAAAACAGGTCTTTGAGTCCACTGGTACTGGGAATGGAGATTGGTGAAAAATATTAGAACGCAATATGGAAATATACAATAAGGTTAAGAAAACTGATGGCTATTCACTCAGTGACTCAGCTGATAAGACTTAATCCCTTAAAAAAAAGAAAACCACATAAATGAAAAAAGGACCTAGCTGTACAAAAATACTTAAAGTTTCTTTATTTGTAATAGCAAAAAATTAGAAACTATATGTCCAATAACTCAAGAACGGTTGAATAAATTACCATATTCTATTACTGAAATGAAATATCATGGTGCTATAAAAATAAGGTTACAAGGAAATACAGAAAGACATGTAAGGTGACGCAGAGCAAAATCAGCAGAATCAAAAGTATGTACATTGTATACAACTTTTTTTTTTAAAGAAAGACAGAAATAAAGCAGAAATGAAGACTGTTAGAATTAGTTAACAGATCTGGAAGGGGACACAGAACAAAAGCATTTTCTATTTGTTTGTTAATTTCTATGGTTTTACTCAAGGATGTGTCAGAGGCACCCCAAACTGGTTAACAAGTACCGATTACTAAATTTTCAGTGTCAGCATTTATAACTTGAAATTCAACAAACTTAAAAATCAGGGATCAATTTATTATTTTGTTGATTGGCTAGATGTAAGAAAGTGATGGAGAAAATATTAATAATGCAGATTAAACACGAAAGTGGTACTTTTTTTTCCCTGGAAAGCTTAGACATTTACCAGCATACCCCTGGTTTTATCCTGTTACAATAACTTTGCCTTTTTCATTTGTTAATTTGACTATTTTTGTTAAAAGTTAATTAAAATATATATTTTTAAACTTGCCTTGATATAGCTAATAAATTTGGTAGAGAGGGCATCAGTTTCATCAGTGAACTGTTCTCTTTCTTCTCCTGAGTTATCATTGTTATTCAAAAGGGAAGGCTCCTGATGAAACTCCTGATGAAATTCCCCTGATAAGAAAATAAAGAGAAAGGGCAAAAAAAATTATTTCAGGCATAATACTGCTACTCAGTCAATTCACAGTTATCGACAAGTTTGGATTCTCTAATTCAAAGGGCACAGTGGCTAAAAATGGACAGCAGGAAAGAAACAAAATGAAAGACAGGACAGCTAGGTGCCACAGTGGATAGAGCACTGGCCCTGGAGTCAGAAGGACCTGAGTTCAAGTCTGGCCTCAGACACATGATACTTACTAGCTGTGTGACCCTAGGCAAGTCACTTAACCCTGACTGCCTCACCAAAAAAAAAAAAGTGAAAGACAGCTCTACAGTGGTTTTTAAAATGGAGTAATATCTAAAGTTCAATTCCAGATAAAAAAGTAACTCCTCTAATTTTATAAATCACTAAAAAATATGAAAGATATATGAGTTTATGTGTTCTCAACACATGTATGCTGTTGCCTATGTCTCTACCTCTTGTCTGGCTGAGAGGGAGAGAAGAATGCAGGAGAGTTAAATGGAACACTGTTTGGAGCTTATCCAAAGAGTAAGAGAAAATTAAGGCCATCTTTTTAATGAATTGTAAGATGAATGAAAATAGAAAATGTGTAGCTTCCCAGAGAAAACTTATTTTTTAAACACAAAATTAGGCTACAGTCTTGAGCCACACACTAGTTCCAAAGGAATCTGACTGTAAGATAAAAAGTCAGAGTGAATGAGAAAGGAGCACTCTAAGTAAGGTTTAACGGATAATGCTATGGTTAGATAAAATTATAATTAATAACAATTAAGTGAGTGAGAAAGGTACCAAATACTTTCTTACTTCTCATAAGGTTTGCTCTATTAGATCATAAAACTTTTCTATTTAGTTGTTTTATTAGTAATATTTTTATTAGAATGTGAAAAATTCAGTTTCTAACCTGAATCTCAAATAAACGTGGTTGAATGTCAATGTTGCAGACAATGTGAATGATGTGCCACTGCCATTTGAAGGCAGAATACATTAACTACAGCAACTAAGGTGAAGAAAATCAGTCTCTTGGGTACTAACTTGCAAACTTAAATTGATGAAGTGACACCACAGCATGATAAATCATAAGGGTTCTCCTCTAAATGAACACCCCATTATGGATACTTTTTAGAAGCGCAAAAGAAATTGAGAGTGCCAATCAGTTACATATTAATCAGCTCATCGTAACTCATGCCATAAACTAATATATTCCAAGTGATTACTTAGCCATATAAAAACTGAAAAGCTTCAATTTTAGTATGTCTATGTGAAAGTCAATTAGAACAAGAATCCAAATACTTCCATTTGGAACTTGGTTGATTCCTATCCAGGTCAGCAATTGATTCCAGGGCACTACGCATCAATATTTACATTTTCCCAAATAGCTTACTCATAACCAATGATAATAATAGAACCAAAGAAATTTAGAACTGTAAGGTTTCTAGCAATCATTTGTTCCAATCCCCTCACCTTGCAGATAAGTAAGCTAAGGCTCAGACAGTTTAAGCTATTTGTTCAATGACAGATAGCTAGGTAATTAATGGCCAATCTGGGACTAGAGCTCACATTTCATTCATTCAAGAAACACTGATTAACCTTGCACTGTGTGTAGGTAACAGCATGAGGTGCCAGGGAAATATATAGTTCAAGTTAGTCCAGCAGAAGAAAGAATTATTCACTTGAAGAGACTGTTTATCATAAACCACATCACCTGTAATTGGCAGGGCCTATTAAGGAATATGGGAAGAGGCAGGAAGTGCCAAATTACATAAATCATTATGATGCTCCACCCTGAACTGGAAATTAGGGAAAAAGGGAGTCTTCAGTTCTCCTATAACCCAACTCCCCTCACTTGCAAAGTTTAAATCTAGTGACCACAGAGAAGGATAAAAACTGAAGGATTCGTCACAAACTAGGTGGTATAACTCACATAACTACTACAAGCGGATACAACGGGCTTGAGGACCTAAGTTCAAATGCCTCTGTCACTTCTTACTTGTGTGACCTTGGTAAGTCACTTCTCTGGGCCACAGTTTTCTTATCTATAAGGGGATTGGACTACATGGCTTCCAGATCTTTGATCCTCTGTATGATGGCCACATTTACAAGTACTTCTTCCCTATATCCCTCTGGAGATTATGGGGCGTTCATTTGGCTGCCACATCGACAGGCAAATGACAAGCACATGTCCAGATAAAAGTGAACATTTTGGGTGAACTTCACCCTCAAGACCAGTCCTCTTTTGAGCAGTTCTGGGTCATGCCATGAGGTATCCATAATCTAGAAACCACCTCCCCTACTCCCTGTTCCCCCACACAGGTATGACCAGATTGAGTCTAGCCACAAATCCAAGGATTTAGATACAAGTAAAATGAAACAACCCCCCACTCAAAGTTAAAAAAACCCTAAATTTGTATGCTTTTAAAGTTGGATTTCCCCCAAAAAATGTAATTTAGTAGTAAAAATGAATGGAATTGATAAACTTCTCTACCCAACCAACTAGCTGTATAACTAGGTTAGCTGCTGTATATAAGAATGTTTTTCAAAAATATTTCTGCACATTTAAAACAGAAAAGTACACTTTGCCCTTTCATTTTTTAAAAAATTCAACCTCCTACTTCTTTGCTGCAGGAAACCCCTAGTAGAGAAACTCCTTTTACCAATGCAGATTAATGCCTTCTCTTCAATCCTGGGGTCCCAAGAGACTGAATGACTAGCTCCTCTGGACCTGAGGTGGCATTTGAACTGAAGTCTTCCTATCTTTGGAGTCAGATTTTTCAGCCACTTTACCTGCCTCTCTTTATTGTTTCCTCCTTGCTTTTTCCCTTCATTCTCTCATACCTTTCACTGGACTAAGGCGATACAAGGATCTTCCTTGACAATCTGTTCTTCTTCCATGATATTTGACATCGGTACATTAAGGCTGACAGTATCTTCATCAGAAGGCTAAAAAGAAATAGTTCAACTATCTCATTCATGGAAAAACATTAAAATTATTAAAGACAGAAATATGGAGATTAGCTACTTCAAATGAGGCACTTTGATAAAATGGAAAAAGCAATCAATTCTGAGTGAGACAGCACGTTATTAAACAACAGCTTTGCCACTTAGGAGCTGTTATGTAGCAACCATAATTATTTAGATCGAACCTCATTCCTAACACTTTCTTTTTGATGGGGTGAACTGCAAATTAAAAATTTACAAGCAGTAGGAGATTAATAGTTGTCTTGTATTTAAAGTGTACAGCTGACCCAACTGATTTTGGAACACTTTATAATAAGCAATCTGTGACTTCCATCTCCAACTGTTTCTTGATAACATACTATCAGGTGAAGGCTATTTAAAGAAAAAAAAAACAAACATGATTCTTTCAGAGATGAAATACGGGGCCTCCTTTGAAAAAACAAAAACAATGTTCTTTTCTTCCCCTTTTTGTACTGACATTCTGTGCTAATGTTTCAAATGTCACAAAGGGGAAGCTGGGCTGTGAAAGGCTAAGCCCGTAGATTGGGAGGTCCTATCAACTGGAGAGGTTTAGAGTAGAATATGGTCCCTGCAAGGGACCATTTCATTATCCAAGGACCCACCTTGATCAGTCTGAAGGGGATCAGCAATTTATGGAGCCTGTATAAGCACAGTGGTGATACGTGATCCTTGCAGAAATGGAGTAGGCTCATTTATTTATTTTTTAATTAGGAGACTGACAAAATCTTGGAGATCAACAATAGTAATTGGCAATGATCCAAGTTTTCAAATAAAAACAAAAACTGTGACATAAGATTAATTCTTGCAAAAATTTTGGTTCTTATATTTTAATTTTTTGTAAATTCATATTATTAGGGCACTTGAAAAAAATCAACTCTTAAAAAACCTGATTCATTTATCAAATATGTATTGAACATTTAGTATGGGCACAGTATTCAACAATGAAAACAATTCTGAACATATGCAATTAAACCAATGACTAGGAAGCAACAGCCAAAGTAAGAGAATAAGGATTTACTCTTCAAATCAACATGGTAAGGGAGATGAACAGAGTGTAATTTACCTCCTACGGATAATAGATAACATGGAAGGAATTTACAAACCCTTTATCATTATAAAACTAAGTTCTGTAGTGCTGCCAAGGTTACTGAGACCAGAGCATGGTGATCATCAGAAGCAGAAAGATGTCTGTATGGTTTGTTTTGGGGGAGAAAAATCTCTCCATTTTCCCCACTTGGCCTTACATTTTTTTAAAAATTGCCAAGACACACACATCCAAGAAAAAATAGCGAATTCATTAGAATAAGATAGTATCTTTTATTTTAAAATTACATATCTATTTACAATAAGCACATCCTAAAATTTAATTTAGTATTTTGAATAATATTTTGTGGATGAATTTAAATACAAATATAACTTTAGAAAACATCACTATGAACTAAGGTTTACAGTTCTTTTTGTTGGTATGTATGTTACAATTAGTAACAAAGTTACCTCTGAAACAAAAGTACAATTGAGGAATTTTAAGGACATTGCAGAATATATTATAATTGATACTATAATATTATTCCTTTAACAGGTAAAAAAGGCTACTATAATTTTATGAGGGATATGAAAGGTATAAAATTTTTTGAAAGAAGAAAAAATCTACAGGAAGACTACTTACTATGCTAAGTAGGAATCAAAATGAAAAAAATACAAAAAGCAAGGAGAAGCCAATCAATTAAGGTTTATGGAGGGGAAGGCGAGAGACCTAAATATGCAACAGTATGCAATTAATTAGAACAGCTTAAGCTTAACTGCAAGAGAGCAAGAAAAAGTTAACCAGGAAATGCAGTGTGCCAATAGGGACTGAATCTATATGGAATTTAAAATAGATAACATTAGTTGTTTCTGTTAGCTTGGAGTAAAAAGGAAGAAGCTATATTAAAATGTTTCCCAAAAGGGGATAAAAAGTTTATAAAATTGTGCAACCAATCAGGAAGCCTGCCATTACTAGAGGCCCTTGTAAAAAATCGGACTGCTGTCCTGTGTAGGCTTTCAAAGTGCATATGTGTGATAAACGACCAGGTTGGTAATATCACCAGCAAACAGTGCTTATGAAGGGCCCAATACTGTACGACAGTGCACTAGGTACCACTTAAAAATGCTTTCTAAACGAACCACAACTTTAAAAATCACTAAGAGTTAGAGAGTTGGACGAAAACAATAGATCTACAGTTGCCTTGTAAAAAGAATAACTTAGATATCATCAATCTGAGTTTAAGGCCAATTTTTTTTATTGAAGAAAACATGAAAAAGGATCAACAAAAATTTGAGGATAAAAATTCACGCCAAATGGAGATATGAGATACAAAATGTACCAGACAAACCCTGTAGTTTGGTAGAATTAGAGAATAAGAAAGAACAGAAAAGGGAACAGGGCAGATATTTTACAAAGTAAAACCTAAAGTGCTATATAATTGTGAATTATTATTAAATTCTCATTCATTTGAAATGCTAATCTTCAAATTTATCATACTGAACACAGGCATTTACCATTGTACATACTATTTCTGGAAAAAAAGAGACGCTGGTAAAATTAAACAAGAGAATAGAGAGAAAGCACAATTTTTAGTGGTTGTAAATAAACATAATGTAAATAGTTGATTAAAATGGATCCAATTGAAATTAAAGAGACTGGGGATATTTGATAGCTACAAAACTACATTTCTTTAAAATATTAAACAATTCAGAAATTTTCCTAATTTAACCTTACCATATAGCCTGGCTTTTTCTTCTGCTTACTATCCCTTTCCAACTATTACAAACTTTAGTAAAGTTTTACTATGGCTTAACTTAATGAAGAATGATATCTTACAAAATCTTTCCTGCAAAACTCATGCTAATATTCTATCTGGATTAAAATTCAAGAACAAAGGAATTCATAAAAGGTGATTTCATTGGATGTTACAGGCATTTAAAAATGAAAGAGAAGGGAAAAAAGTGAAAAGGAGAGAGGAAACAGGGAGAAAAAGAGAGGACAGGAGGGAAAGAAGGAAGTGGGCAGGAGAGGGAGGGAGGGAGAGAAAGAGAGAGAGAGAGAAAGGAGTGTGTGTGTGTGTGTGTGTGTGTGTGTGTTAGAGTTGGAAGGAGTGGAGACGGAGGAAAACAGAAAAGCATCATTTCACAAAACAGGGAATAACATGTCCTTCCTGCATGACTCAAAACCAACTGCCTAAAAAACTGTGCACTCTTTTCTGGGCTTAGCATCCCCCAAAAAGTCTCATCAAATTGAGGGAGTTCAAGGTCAAGGAATAAAAATGATAAAAGGACTGGGACAATCACTTTATGAAGGATTTTTTTCCCCCAGGGACAAAGCAGTAGAGATCTAAATGTATCATATTTTAGTAAAAACTTTTCCAGATGTTAACAGGCCATAAAGGAGATAATAAATGTGCTAATGGAAGGTTATATACAACCATCAGAGGAAGCACCGGTATTAATATGAGTTCATTTATAAAAACTCAATATTTTATCATGATATTTTAAAGGAATCTAATTTCCAAATCACAGGAAATCAAAATTTTAAGTCACAGTGACTTAAAATGTTCTTCTGGTGAGGAAACTGCAGGGCCACATACATTTCATGAAATACATACACACACACACACACACACACATTCACTTCTAATGCACTTCTTAACCTGTTAAAGTCAACTGTCAACAGTTATAAAGCAGCACAGTGCCTAATACATAGTAGGCACTTCACAAATGCTTGCTCATTGTTTTATCACTATATTCAGGGCAAGGTACTGGATACTATGCAGGGAATGTAGAAAATCAGGGTCTCTGTCCTTAAAAAGTTCACACTGAAGTTTGACTAAAGTCGAGGAAATAACACATTGATGGATGTAAAGGAAAATATATGAGCAAAAAATGTACTGTGGATGAAAGTATAATACCCCCAAACCAAAGTTTAACTGAATTACCTCAGTGGCAGATAAACGCTTATCTCCATTATCACTTCCAACTCCTGAATCAGAATCTTTCTTGCTGGGATAGATGTCATCAATATTGAATTGAAATAAAACACATCACAAAATACATGTCAAAATAAATTAACTTTCAGTATAATTATGCTTTTGTTTTAAGTATGTTATCTTTCAAGAAATTACTCAGGAACTAAAATTCCATTCAATTCAATAAATATTTAACACACAATACCTATAGTGTTTATAAAGCATGTGCTTGGCCCCAAGAGAGATACAAATGTTAAGATACTGTCCTTCTGTAGATGGAACTTGACCAATTGTGCTAGAACCAAATGGAATTGGGACATGGACCTAATTAAAATTTCAAATGGGGCTGATGGGAAAAAGAATCAAATGGCTTGACAGTTCTTTATAGTTAGCTTTTCAGGGATTTCTACCATAGTCTAATAACCTGATATTAGCCTCAGTATAGTTTAATGTAGTGAATCTATCTTAAAAATGAACTACATACACACGTATGCTGTAGATCTTAGCGCAGATCTCTAGTAACTTATAAATGTTATCACTACTTCATCGCCCTTCTATGTCATACTTCCCAAACCTCTGAATCTTCAAAATTACAAATGTAAACTAACCAAGTGAGGAGAATAATTCGAATGGAACTCACATAAAGTTGGGAACAACATTTCTGCAGCTCTCTCTAGAGGATGTAAATGTACCCTTTAAATGAACAAAGGATCAAAGTCTGTTGGACTCACCTCTCTTCCACATTAGGCTGCAGATTTGGCCTCTCCATAGTATGAAGATAAAGTGAGTCTGTTGTTTTAATCTGACAGGCCTGTATGCTCAGATACTTGAATATGTGCACTTTGCCCTTTGTACAAATCTATTAAGAAAATAATAAGCTTTTATTTGGAAAACTGTGAAGAAACATTCAGAAATTTTATTTTCTGGAAATAGGCACTTCTACATATATTTCATTCTAACCAACCCTGTGGACTCCAACTGTAACACTTGTAAAATCTATTAAAATTCCATAAAGCTGTCCTACAAATTATTTCTAGAGAAAATCAAGACTAAACAAATATCTAAGTTTTCCCACAATGATTTTTGAACCTCTTAAAAAAGAGTAGTACTCCGAAAACCACATGTAAATGTAAAAAGAAAGCTCAGCATGATATTTTGGCTAAAGATTATTTGAAAGCCTGTTAAGACAGTGTAATAAAACACTGAAGACTTGGGGAAACATCTTGATAAGGTATAGAGTCCCTTTAAAAATATCAGATTACAATTTTTGCCTTGGTTACTTATATGAAGGTAAATGGACATTCTTCATCCTGTTTTCATACATACTGCTTAATATTTCTTTGGGCTTTACCCAACTGAAGTCTAGGCTCTCTTACAACTTCCTACCCTCTAACTTTTCATCCCTTGGCCTCCTTATGTAGAATTTGGATGAGATGATGTCCACCTTCCCTTCTAGCCCCAAGTTCTGTTATGTTGAAGCAGCTAACTACCTATTTCCAGAGACGTGCTTAAAAGCTTGCTGCATAGCTCATAAAAAACAAAAAGGAGGCTAATCTTTTTGTAAGATGAACACCAAGAAAAAGATCTGAGAATAACCTTATTGCCAAACAATTGAAAAACTTGCTTGGCAATGAACTGTTTATATTCACAAACTTCTCCCCCCCCCAACCCCTCTCCTTCCCCACCTGTATGGACAAGCCATCTTACCTGTGCTGGAGGAGACTGGAGGGGATTATTCTCAAGCAGTAACACTTGCAGCTGCTTCATCTCTCTAAAACAAATTGGAATCACGAGCACTTTATTGCAGGAAAAATCAAATTTTACCAAGGGAAGATCTACAAGTTCTAAAAACAAACAAACAACACAAAAGAATTGCATGATTAAGTGTCAAAAATATTTGTCTCTGGAGAAGGAAAATAATTACACAACATAACCAAAAATTTGAGGTTTCTTTTCAAAGTAGGTTGTACACAAAACCTGTGGCATATGTGAACACCATCTGAATAAAGTAGAAACCTCATTAACTTAGACTCTACTAATTTAGAACTGTGATAGGTGGACAGGCACCAGACTGCAACTTACTTCTGCACTACCAAAATTAAAAGAGTTTGCTCAGCAAAGATACTACATAAAGAAGATTTCAGGAGGATTGTTTTTATTTCAAAGTTTAAGCAATAGGGTAGCATAAAAACAATGTGATAATTAGAGACAAATCTTCTGTATTAATTAAATAGGACCTGGCAGGGCAATCACTGGGCTATATAGCTAGCAATTAGTTTATGAGAGTATATAACATTAAAAAGTAATAAAACTACATTTTTCATACTGTGTAATTTATAATTTTTAAGGTCCTTTCCCCTTCAACTCCATGCAAGTTTGACCTAGTGAAGTTTTCCCTTTCTACTTTTGGAAAATCCTTCTATAGCTACACAAACAAATATAACCTTATATTTAGCTTATAATTGCCATCCAGTAGTAAACACTCAGCAATTTCAAGTATTCAGGCCAACTGGACTATCAACATTGACAGCTGCTAGGAACAAAATCAAATCTCTTTCCTATAAGAAAAAGATGGCTGAACAATGCCAGGCATGTAAGAGTTATAGCAGATGAAATTTGCGAAGTAACTATATGTCACAACTCCCATCCACGCAGCTAAATCAAATCATTACTATCACATGACAAGGAAGTGCAAATGAGATATATATCTGACATGTATAGCTTTTGCCTTGAGAACTAATGAAATTAGGCAAAGAAATAATTCAGAGAAGATCTTTTTATATCAAACTAGTAAGACAATACCAAAATTAAGGAGTTTATCATCAAAAGTCTAAAAACCAACCCATATTTACATAGTTAAGAAGCTTTTCAACTATTTGGGGGTGACAAGACCAACACATGACATAGTGGCAAACAACATAAGATATGTAATTAAGTGCAGCAGCATGGTTAAAAAATATAGGAACTCAAAGAAGATGGATGGAGATCAATTAGGCAGGAATAGTTAGGTAAGGCTTCATAATAATCAATGTTCGATAAATATTTATTAAGCACTTACTTTGTGTCAGTTACTCAGGATACAAATAAGAAAGAGTCCCTGCCTTCAAGGAGCTTATAATCTAATGGTGGAAAATAATACACAAAAGGAAGCTGAAAAGATGTCCCTTTGCCCCCATGATGTTTATGGAGTTAAAAACCTAGCAGAACAACAAGTGGAAAATGAAGGGTTGATTGGAAACTTTGAGCCATTGGGAGGAGGTTTTTTTGTTCTGCCCTCCAATTAGAGAAGAAAGAAAACTGAGCTGAGGAGTTAAGGATAATGAAAAGACCACCCTGACCACAGTAGAAGATGTGTGTTAAATTAGTAGTGGGACGTAAAGCATGGGGGTAAGCTTATGGAGGTCCTTAAAGTGAGACAGAGAAATCTGGACTTGATGTGGTAAGAAGTAGGAAATCACGGAAGGTTTCTAAACAAAAGAAGAGTAATGAGATGTGAAAAGTGATTTTAAGAACGATTAGAATACCAGCATGAAGAATAAATTCAATAAAGGGATGAATGCAGTATGAGTATGATGGGGGAAAGAACAAAAATTAGGAAGGCCAGGTAAAAGGTTTTTATTTTATTTTAAAAATTTTTTGACCATATCTAAATAGCAAATAAAATGGGCCCTTCCATATACATAATAAAATAGAAAAAGAGGATTATACAATGAACTGCAAATCTCTCTAATATGTAGCTTATTTTTTCTTTTTAAATAAAAAACAAATTTAGCATGCAATTTTCAAAGCTGTTCTTGATTGTTCATAATTGTCCATAATTCATTCTGGCATTCTTTCTGTTCCCTGTTATACATTTAAAAATGCTTCAATGACTTCTTTCCTTTTTCTTCCTTTTTTTTTTTTTGCTGCCCTGTCCCTACCTAGATTCCTTCACCCACCACTAATACCACCCACTAATTGAAAAAAGAAAAAAAAAAGAAAAACAAAACTGTTACAACATGTATGCAAAATCAGATAAACAAAATTCCTGTATTTCAATGTCTGAAAATGTAGTCTTCTGCACCTCCATTACCTTATACATTTGAATCAATTGGATATGAGACTTTTATCAGAGAAACCTCTTGCAAAGATTTTTTTCTCATTAATATGTTTCCCCTCTAATTTTAACTGAATTGGTTTTGTTTGTGCAAAATCTTTGAAATTTTATGTAACCCAAATTGTCCATTGTATCTTCTGTGATCCTCTCTATCTCTTGTTTGGCCAAGGGCTTTTTCTTCTATCCACAGATCTTAAAGACATTTCCTCTGTAATATGATTGTCTTGATGTGGCTCATAGGGAAGACAGACATCTCCAGTGTCTCCCTGCAATGTTCTTTAAGGGGAACTTTAATTCCTGCCATCAGGGTAAGCAGGAGATTAGGGTCAATAATATTCCACGACATTCATACCCAGTAATTTGTTCAGTCATGGGCCTGGAGTCAGGAAGAGTGTTCTTCCCTGAGTTAAAAATCTGGCCTCAGACACTTACTAGCTGTGTGACCCTGGGTAAGTCACTTAACTCTGCCTCAGTTTCCTCATCTGTAAAATAAGCTGGAGAAGGAAATGGCAAACCCCTCCAGTATCTTTGTCAAGAAAACCCCAAATGGGGTCACCAAGAGTCAGACATGACTAAACAACAAGAGCAACAACAAAAGTCAAGTTAGGAAAGAGATCGAAGAAATAAGAGGGCGGTCACCAGCATTAAATGCCCTCCTAATTTCCCTTTTCAAAGCCTTGATAATTTCACTACAAAATAGGGTTATGAAAAATGTTGTGTGAGGGACAATGGGGGGACGGTTATTGTGATTCATGGTCTGCTGTTACTCTCAGCAACCTTCAATAAAGTTCAGTACCCTCTCTTTTACTTAAGAACTTAATAATTCAAAGTTACACAGAAATCATCCAGAAAATCAAGAGGTATAATACCTCCACAAGAGGGGATAAGAATGGTTTGGATCTGCATAGACTTTTGAGATTTGAAGTCATTTCTGCTCATCTCTAAGGGCAAGGAAAAATCTCATTGTTTGGCTGTAGTGGGACTGTGAGAAAGGAAAAAGTACAGAGAGGATGGAGGTGGTGGGGCTTCCTCCAGACATAAGGAACAGCAGAGCACTCAGTAGTTCCCCTCCTCAACCTTAGTCTCCAGGGAGACTGGACAGGAGAAAGCTAGAGTAGCAATTAGAAAGATTCATTTTATTATTTTTTTTAATCTTGGGCACTCTCTCAGGTGTCTTAAGAAAAAAGAAAACGTACAGAGGAACTGGCAACTGTCCTTATTCCTTTTCCCTGTCTTGATTCAGTTCAGTATAACAAGCACCTATTTCTAACCATGTCCTTTTATTCTGTTAAAGACTGCATGTGACCGATGTAATTTATTTCTCATAAACAGTTGTTGTTGACCCTGTCCTGTACGTTTCCCTGTTTCCCTTTGTTATAGTAGGACAAGTCTGGGGAGAGTGACCTTACCAAGTACAGAGCTGGAATCTCAATCCCCAGTCCACTGTTAAGATATTTTTCTCTAACTAGGGGCATAATCATGTGCCATCCATGTTTCATGACTATATTTCCATGAATATACTATGAACTTGGGTCTATAAATCTGCCATATTGGACCTTGAGCCTAGCCTGGTGACCCCTAAGTTTACAAAGAAATCAAGACTTGAGATTTCTTGTTTAGAATAAAGAATGTTTTAAGCAAAGCTGTAGGTGTTTGTGAGAAACACAGGAAGCAGATACGGAGAAAAGAGAGCTGAATTTTCAGTGCATGAAGAGTCCTTTTAGGATTTCCTTTCAAGCTTCAGACCTGGATCTTAAGCACCTAGTGCTTAAGAGAAATAAGGACAATCCAGCTTGCTACCTACAGGTTGGGAAGGGCACAGAAAAGGAAAAAAAATGGATAAGAGCCCCAGACCCTCTCTATTCAGGAAACGTAAGAAAGGAATAGAGAAAAATCATGCAAAAGGTACGATGAGTTGCTCCTTCCCTCCACCCCAGCCTGTGGCAAGTCCTAGCAAGGACAAAGTATATTCTCAGAACAGGTGTGTTTAAAAACAAAAATCAAAATAAACCCCACAAAACACCACAAGGGGCAAAGTAAATTGATGACATTTTTCTTGTCAAAATATAAGAGGATGGGTAGTACTAAAACTGTCTAAGCAAATACAGTAAGTATACATTTACTGTCCAAGAGAATTACCAATACTCTTTTGTTAACATATTTCTTCAGAAACTTGATATTCAGGAAATTAAGCAAAAAAAGGTTTCACTGTAAATTGAAACATTTCAGCTTTAAGTGCACAAAAATCTCTGCAGAAAAAATATAGTAACAAAAATATAGCTACCCATAAAATAACTTTTAGGGAAGGAAAAATCATTAAGAGACTTAGGAATGACAAAAAGGAGAACTAGCTAGATTTTTTTTTAAGAGTTAAGACTTAAATGAAAAAGTAATACTTTGAACTCATTCCCTACTCTCAAGCCACCTCCTCCATGGTCTGACCACACCTAGAGAACTGCCTAGATTTGAATCCAGACCCTTTGACTTCACAGCATTATAAAGGCAAGGATCAAAACCTGGAAGGGATTTCAGAAGGCATCTAGTCCAACAGTATTATTTCCTCAGATGAGGAAACTGAGGCTTGATGACTTCAAATACAACACTCTTTCTATTACACTTAAATGCCTCCCATAATTAATGTGCCCCAGCAACAGCCTGGTCAGAGGCAGCTGTCATTATAACTAGTAGTAAAAAAAAAAAAAAAAGACAGGTGCTTCCAGTGTAAATCCAGAAACCCTTATTCTCACTTCCCCTAGAATTGGCTACAACTCTCCCAAGGATCATACCCCTGAAACTAGTGGGTTCTCATGACTCAGACAAAAATACAGGCAACTAAACTGAAAACTGAAGGTTGTACATTCCAAGATGACAAAATACCTAACCTCTATACAGTGCCAATATTTTCCCCAAGTCTTATAATTCAGTTTTGTTGTTGCTGCTTTTTAGATTATACTTGTACCTTGAACCCACAACCTAACCCCAACCTTCTTGTCATTTGATGTTCAGTCATATGTTCATCTAATTTAAAATTTAAAAATAATCCTAAAGCAATTAAACACACAAAAAACTAAGAATTTTCTGTTTTGTTCCCTTTTCTGTTTGTTGAGCTTAACTGACTTTCTTACCTGGTGGTAAAACTTTAAGGTAATTTCTTCTGATGTTCAGTTCTCTTAGTGATTTCAGTTGTCCTATCTGCTGTGGCAGAGCTGTGATCTCATTGCAGCTGACATCCTGTGGCAAAAGCAACAGGAAATTCATGTATTATTTTTCCAAAGGATTAAGCAGTCCAAGCTAGAATTCCTTGAAGGAATTTGACATTAAGACAGAGGTAAATTTTTCATGTTGCCTTCAATTAATCAGAGAGTCAATCAATAAGCACTTACAACTATGTGTACTACTGCCTACTATGTGTCAGGCACCAAGCAAAGTACTTCGGATATAAAGAAAAATACTCCTTGCTCTGAAGGAAATTACATTCTAATGGGGGAGACAGGCAAATTTCCGGATACATAGAAAATACATGGTAACCTTGACCAGGAAAGGTCTTAGGGCAGAAGATGAGCTTGAGCTGAGTCCGGAAACCAAGGATTCCAAGAAGTATCAGTAGGGAATGCATTCAAGGCATGGGAAACAGCCAGTGCAAAAGGAGATGAGAGATGGAGTGTCATATGTGCAGAACAGCAAGAACTTCATTACATGCCCTGTAGAGTTTGTAGAGGAGAGTAATGGGTAATAAGGCCAAAAAGCTAAGATGTGGCCAGATTCTAAGGACTTTAAATGACAAACCAAGGAGTTTATATTTGATATTAGGGAGTCACTGAAATGGACTAGTTGGGGAGGTGGTATGGATAACAAAGTCAGACCTGAATTTTAAGAAATAATTTTAGTGACTGAGTGAAAAGTACACTGGAGTGGGGAGAGACTTGAACCAAGGAATCCAATTAGGAGAATATTGTAAAAGCCAAGATGAGAGGTAGCTATATGAAAGGAAAGAAGAGAATGGAGGGGAAGAAGTGGTGGTGGTAGGAATGGCGAGATTTGCTAACTGACTAGGAAAAGAGGGGTGAGTTAGAGTGAAGAGTTGAGGACCACACTGGGTTCGCTAACCTAGAGACCAATAAAATCTGTTTTGAAGATGATAAGTTAGATACGCCTACGGGATACCCAGTTTGAAATATCCAATAAGCAGTTGGAGTTATGGGACTAGAGTTTTGGAGAGAGACTAGGACTGGTTTTACAGATAGGGGTTCATTTGCATGGAGGTGATAATTAAACTCATGGGAGTTACTGAGGCCACCAATGAAAGAGTTTAGAACAGGGATTCCTTAACCTTTTGGGGCAATGGACTCCTAGTCTTATGAAGCCTGTGGATCCCTTCTTAAAATATATAAAACAACACATATGATTACAAGGGAGACCAATTAAATTAAAACACAGTTATTGAAATATTTTTCAAAGATGAGTTCACAGGCCTCCAGGTTAGGAGCCTTTTGTTTACAGAAACAAGCAAAGCAGGACCAGGACAAAGTTTTGGAATATACCCAAAGTTAGGGGGCATAAAATAAATGATGAGCCAGTAATGAAGACTAAGATGAAGTGGCCAGATAGGAAAGAAAAGAACTGAGAGTGAAACTCTCAAAAGAGATGTTTCCTGGAAAGAAAGGGTGGTTGATTTTCAGTGCCAAATGCTACAGAGAGGTTCATAAGGATGAGAAATGAGGAAACATATTAAATACAGCAATTAAGAGTTCATTGGTAACTTTGGAGAAAGCAGTTTCAGTTGAGTGATTAATTAGGAAGTCAGACTAGAGGGTTCGGAAGAGAGGTGAAAGCATCAAATGTAGACAACTTTTTCAAGGAGTATGGCTGAAAGAGGAGTCATAGGATGACAGCTTGCAAATACAATATAATCTAGTGAAGGTTTTTAAAGGGTGTGGGAGACTTGATCATGTTTTCAGGTAGCGGAGAAAGAGGGCTTCTATTCTTCCTCTCCTCTATCTTTGTATTCAAACTGTGCAGCAGGAGCCCTTCTCTGAGTAAGGAGGACTATGATGAATGATTCAATCACTATTCATTCCTTATGAATAATTTACACATGGGCATCACACATGCTTATTTTAAGTTTGTGATCCCACTGTATGGTAACCAATTAGTATGTTATACAGCTCTGTGTGAGCTAGGATACTCTGTTTATACATCTTCACCAAGGTAATTTGTTTCCAAGGCTAAGGTGCTGTAGGAAGGATACTCTTTCTCGCTTCAAAAAAAGTAACAAACTATTATCCATGACTGAGTATTGCTTCAATAGCAACTATTATTTTGGGTAATCTGTAGTTCTGTAATGCTCAACTTCTGAAATCTTGATACAACATCCAGTTTTGACTGTGTTCTTATTTGGGGCCCTAACACGTTTGCTTTTATGTCTCTAATTCCACAGGATCTTCCACTTGGTATCTCAGGATCTGTTGTGTATTTTGGGTAAAGTCCCAGCAAGCTACAACTTAGAAACTCTGGAACTCATCATTTTACTTATGCAAATGCTTAGCACCCTCCTCCCTTCTTGAAAACAACAACAACAACAAAAAAGGCATCACCTCAAAGGCATTAAAATTCAATATCTAAAACCCAAGAGTGAAAGCCTATTTTAAGCAATTTTTATCTATTTAATTCTTGCTAGAAATAACATCTGGTGTACTATGATTAATAAACATATATTTAACAAATACTCTTTAGTGATTATATACACACACACACATATACATATACACACAGTCTCTATTGTGTATTTCTGTATTCCTCTTTTCTCTCTAAGTTTGGAAGACATGAAAATGAAAAGTAATACATGGTACGTGGTTATAAAAATCAATCTGTATATTAATGATTGAAAATTAATCTACATTTTGGAAGAAAACCACCACTAGACTCAAAATAGCAATTCCAATATATAATATAGAGCTTGCAAAGTCCTTAAAGAACGTATAATCCAACTCCCTAATTTTTAAAGGAAGAAATGGTTTGCCCACATGGCAGAGACAAATCTAAAATTCAAGTCTTCTGATTTCTAGGACTTTCTCAGAGCTAGGAGCTGGGCTCTGGGCGAAGAACAGGACAGGACCTCTTGAACCTGTAGGGGTGGGGGAAGCAAATGGAGGAAAGATTGGAAACACTGCTAGCTTTGTTACCAAAGAATTATTAACATCTCTCCATTCCCAAACAATACATAGACACAGTCTTTGGCACAGACATGAAATTAAGGAAGGATGGAAGAAAAGGACTTAGGGATGCAGCCAATGGAAGTGGGGTGAGAAAAGGGGAGACAACATCACAGTATGAGGGAAGGGAAGAGATTTAGTGTTGCAACAGGGACAGACACTCCAGAGATTCCGACACCGAAAAACTGGATCTTTTCAACCCTCAATGTCAACATGCAAGAGCCATGGTCTCTCCCTCAAGTGTGAATTCCAGAAGGTCTCTTGACACATATTACTGAAGGATGAGACCTAACCCCTAAAGTATGCTTTCTGAGAGTGTTTTTTTCAACTGTTTTATCTAAATCAAATGTTTTATTTCTAAAATGTATGTTTTCTTCCTGATGTGCTAGCCTGATGAAAAATGAATAAATTCCTAGCTGAGTTGGCAGGGGGTGTTTACAGTCAAATGGGGTACATTTGCCATCCAATATACCCCACAGTTAATCCAGTAATCTATGTGAATCTAGAGTTAAGTAACCCTAGGGTGACAGGGCAATCTAATATAATCTTGGGTAAGGTTATATGTAATTTTTGTTTTTTAGAAATTACTGACATAGCATTATCATTTATATGTCTTTTACTTTGATGCAGGGAATAAATTGGTTTTCTGAATCTGCTTTTTCATTTGAAAAATAGAAAGTAAAGCACCATTTTTACAACTCATATGACAAATTACTATTATGTAAAATATCTAATATAATTGTCTTTTTTTTGTACACAAGCTTTTTAAAGAAGCAAGATACACTGAAGCCTTGCCCAATTTATGTTACTCTTTCAAATAGGTGTGTATATGTATATATATCTCTGTGTGTGTGTGTGTGTGTGTGTGTGTGTGTGTATACACATATATCTCCATCTATCGAAAGAGAAAGACAGTGATTTTATAGGTAACCCCTATTCCTTTGGAATGAGGGACATGTTTATATGTGTATGTCCATGTATGTGTATGAGTATATATCCTCATCCCAAAGGTATTACAGTTATTTTTTTTATTATAAATGAATTCAGCACAATATATTAATTACTAACTAGACAATAACTGGAGGGGGGGTTGGCTGAGTTGTTATTAATAAGGCTCAAATTTTTTTTTCTTTTTTGGTGAGGCAATAAGGGTTAAGTGACTTGCCCAGGGTCACACAGCTAGTAAAGTGTTAAGTGTCTAAGGCCAGAATTGAACTCAGGTCCTCTTGACTCCAAGGCCAGAATTCTATCCCTTGTGCCACCTAGCTGCCCCTTGAATTTTTTTGAATCTCCACCTTTACTACAATGTCTGGCACACAGTAAGCACTTCATAAATGCTCGTTGACTGACTGACTTCTTGTTCTTACAGAAGTTTATATGATGTATTTGACCTTTTAAAATATTACTCTCTCAGGAAAAATAAATTAGACACACCACTTTTAAATCAGGTCATATCTATAGTCTTTTATAATTAATGGAAAAGGCTTGTTTTAAAAAACATAAAAATTTAAATTTTCAGTAGTCAACAATGCAATATTCTTCTGACCTTTTAAAATGTGAGAATAAAATAGTTGAACTATTTAGATAGCACATTACTAGGAATAAGATCTCTAGAGATATGTACTTTAACCCTACTTTAGAGCACAACTGGCATTTACTTTGCACTTAGTAAATATTTTAACAGAAAATGGTGAGTAGGATACATATTCTTAATCATACCATAAAATATTTTTTCAAGAAGTATAGATTCCAAATTAATAAATTACTTTAACTTAAAAACCAGAAATTGTCCAGGTAGAAATATATAAATTTATAGATGAGGAAGAACTGATTTTCAGCAATTCTTCTCAGAAATTTCTTAACTTAAAAAACTCCAACAATTTATGCAAGGGAAGCAAGTCTTTCCTTCTGACTTACAGGACATCTGCAGACAATTAGAAACACACAGTTAAATTGTCCATTCAGACTCTGAAGGGTATTTGGTGAAGGTCAGATTTGTTAATAATACTCTGAACAGTT